TCAGAGTGACCAACTAAATCTGTGTCATCCCTACCCTTAAACTATCCTAAAAATGGCTGTAGAGTGACCAACTAAATCTGTGCCACTCCCTACAAAACAAAATTGTCATCTAAAAATGGCTTAAACTAAAAATGGCTGGAGAGTGGCCAACTAAATCTAGCCAACTAAATCTGTGCCACGGCTGGAGAGTGGCCAACTAAATCTGTGCCACTCCCTACAAAACATAAAATTGCCGTCTAAAAATGGTTCGGTGTCCCTGCCTTATCGAGTTGACCCAGACTCACAATATTAGCCTTGAGTCTCATAAAAATGGTTCGGTGTCCCTGCCTTATCGAGTTGACCCAGACTCACAATATTAGCCTTGAGTCTCAGGATGAAGTAGATCGCTGAATTTCACCGTCCTGCGAATCCCCGAGTCAAGCTCGGAGAACACAGACTTGGCCCCGGTTATATGGTTTGTTGACCCTGTGTCGAGGCTGTGCCACTCCCTACAAAACAAAATTTCCGTCTAAAAATGGCTCGGTGTCCCTGCCTTATCGAGTTGACCCAGACTCACAATATTAGCCTTGAGTCTCAGGATGAAGTAGATCGCTGAATTTCACCATCCTGCGAATCCCCGAGTCAAGCTCGGAGAACGTAGACTTGGCCCTGATTATATGGTTTGTTGACTCTGTGTCGAGGCTGTGCCACTCCCTACAAAATAAAATTTCCGTCTAAAAATGGCTCGGAGTCTCTGCTTTATCGAGTTGACCCAAACTCACAATATTAGCCTTGAGTCTCAAGATGAAGTAGATCGCTGAATTTCACCGTCCTGCGAATCCCCGAGTCAAGCTCGGAGAATGCAGACTTGGCCCCGGTTATATGGTTTGTTGACCCTGTGTCGAGGTTGTGCCACTCCCTACAAAACAAAATTGTCGTCTAAAAATGGCTCGGTGTCCCTGCCTTATCGAGTTGACCCAGACTCACAATATTAGCCTTGAGTCTCAGGATTAAGTAGATCGCTGAATTTCACCATCCTGCGAATCCCCGAGTCAAGCTCGGAGAACGTAGACTTGGCCCCGGTTATATGGTTTGTTGACCCTGTGTCGAGGCTGTGCCACTCCCTACAAAACAAAATTTCCGTCTAAAAATGGCTCGGAGTCCCTGCCTTATTGAGTTGACCCAGACTCACAATATTAGGCTTGAGTCTCAAGATGAAGTAGATCGCTGAATTTCACTGTCCTGCGAATCCCCGAGTCAAGCTTGGAGAACGCAGACTTGGCCTCGGTTATATGGTTTGTTGACCCTGTGTCGAGGCTGTGCCACTCCCTACAAAACAAAATTGTCGTCTAAAAATGGCTCGGTGTCCCTGCCTTATCGAGTTGACCCAGACTCACAATATTAGCCTCGAGTCTCAGGATGAAGTAGATCGCTGAATTTCATTGTCCTCCGAATCCCCGTCTAAAAATCGCTTAAACTATCCTAAAAATGGCTGGAGAATGGCCAACTAAAGCTCGGAGAACGCAGACTTCGCCCCGGTTTATAAGGTTTGTTGACCCTGTGTCGAGGAACCATCCGCGCTATTGCTGCTCATTTCTTTCACTGATTTGAGTGAACACTCGCTCCTCCTCCAGTTGAATTGGCTTCCCCAGTCACCCATGAAGAGAACGCAGACTTGGCCCCGGTTATATGGTTTGTTGACCCTGTGTCAAGGCTGTGCCACTCCCTACAAAACAAAATTGCCGTCTAAAAATGGCTCGGTGTCCCTGCCTTATCGAGTTGACCCAGACTCACAATATTAGCCTTGAGTCTCAGGATTAAGTAGATCGCTGAATTTCACCATCCTGCGAATCCCCGAGTCAAGCTCGGAGAACGTAGACTTGGCCCCGGTTATATGGTTTGTTGACCCTGTGTCGAGGCTGTGCCATTCCCTACAAAACAAAATTTCCGTCTAAAAATGGCTCGGAGTCCCTGCCTTATTGAGTTGACCCAGACTCACAATATTAGCCTTGAGTCTCAAGATGAAGTAGATCGCTGAATTTCACTGTCCTGCGAATCCCCGAGTCAAGCTTGGAGAACGCAGACTTGGCCCCGGTTATATGGTTTGTTGACCCTGTGTCGAGGCTGTGCCACTCCCTACAAAACAAAATTGCCGTCTAAAAATGGCTCGGTGTCCCTGCCTTATCGAGTTGACCCAGACTCACAATATTAGCCTTGAGTCTCAGGATTAAGTAGATCGCTGAATTTCACCATCCTGCGAATCCCCGAGTCAAGCTCGGAGAACGTAGACTTGGCCCCGGTTATATGGTTTGTTGACCCTGTGTCGAGGCTGTGCCATTCCCTACAAAACAAAATTTCCGTCTAAAAATGGCTCGGAGTCCCTGCCTTATTGAGTTGACCCAGACTCACAATATTAGCCTTGAGTCTCAAGATGAAGTAGATCGCTGAATTTCACTGTCCTGCGAATCCCCGAGTCAAGCTTGGAGAACGCAGACTTGGCCCCGGTTATATGGTTTGTTGACCCTGTGTCGAGGCTGTGCCACTCCCTACAAAACAAAATTGTCGTCTAAAAATGGCTCGGTGTCCCTGCCTTATCGAGTTGACCCAGACTCACAATATTAGCCTTGAGTCTCAGGATGAAGTAGATCGCTGAATTTCACTGTCCTGCGAATCCCCGTCTAAAAATCGCTTAAACTATCCTAAAAATGGCTGGAGAATGGCCAACTAAAGCTCGGAGAACGCAGACTTCGCCCCGGTTTATAAGGTTTGTTGACCCTGTGTCGAGGAACCATCCGCGCTATTGCTGCTCATTTGTTTCACTGATTTGAGTGAACACTCGCTCCTCCTCCAGTTGAATTGGCTTCCCCAGTCACCCATGAAGAGAACGCAGACTTGGCCCCGGTTATATGGTTTGTTGACCCTGTGTCGAGGCTGTGCCACTCCCTACAAAACAAAATTGCCGTCTAAAAATGGCTCGGTGTCCCTGCCTTATCGAGTTGACCCAGATTCACAATATTAGCCTTGAGTCTCAGGATTAAGTAGATCGCTGAATTTCACCATCCTGCGAATCCCCGAGTCAAGCTCGGAGAACGTAGACTTGGCCCCGGTTATATGGTTTGTTGACCCTGTGTCGAGGCTGTGCCACTCCCTACAAAACAAAATTGTCGTCTAAAAATGGCTCGGTGTCCCTGCCTTATCGAGTTGACCCAGACTCACAATATTAGCCTTGAGTCTCAGGATTAAGTAGATCGCTGAATTTCACTGTCCTGCGAATCCCCGAGTCAAGCTTGGAGAACGCAGACTTGGCCCCGGTTATATGGTTTGTTGACCCTGTGTCGAGGCTGTGCCACTCCCTACAAAACAAAATTGTCGTCTAAAAATGGCTCGGTGTCCCTGCCTTATCGAGTTGACCCAGACTCACAATATTAGCCTTGAGTCTCAAGATGAAGTAGATCGCTGAATTTCACTGTCCTGCGAATCCCCGTCTAACAACACTCGCTCCTCCTCCAGTTGAATTGGCTTCCCCAGTCACCCATGAAAGGGTGAGGGGCTCATCCTTCTTTTGATCCGCCTCTTTCCCGTGCATACCGCCAGTGAGATTTCCATGGCTTCTTACCCACCTTTGCGAGATTTCCATGGCTCTCGCCAGTGTCGTCACAAAGTTTTAGGCATGCATGAAACAAGCCAAGTGAGCGTTCCCATGATGTGTGTGTTTTTACACTTTACATTTTCTTTACTCGAACCTGAGATCTATGTGTTGTTAGATCAATGCTCTAACCACTCAAGTTATTCAACTTGTTTATTGATAGGTTGGCTTCTTCGCAATGATATACACCGATGGCTTCAACTTGGCTCTGATACCACTTGGTTGTTGGAAGAAAATAAAAGAGAGAGAATGGCTGACATATGGATGACATTCTGACTGCAGTCCAAAATCATTATTCAATATTCTTAACAGATTTCATTAAATTCAATATTCTTATTAGATTTCATTAAATTCAATATTGTTAACCGATTTCCTATTTAAATATAAACTATCCTAAAAATGACTGAGAGTGGCCAACTAAATCTATGCCACATTGCGGTCTAATGGTCAAACAGAGTATTCTGAAATATGTGAATCGAAATAAGGAAAAACTGAAAAAAATTCAGGTTTTATCTAACACCGAACTTACTAAATAAGTCAACTCATTGGGCAGAATCATTCCGGTCCTTTTAGCTCTCGAGCCCATCATCAAACTTGTTCATTTCTCCACCATGGAACTGTAAGAACAAGTTTGTTGCAACGAGTTTGGGTGTAGAGTAAAGAGTAAAAATTCTTAATTGATAATGTTCTTATAATTTCCCCTTGATCTAATGCCTTTCAACCCTTGATGCGGAAACTGGTATAGGTTTTAAGTCCTAATATGGCTGGGAGAAAAGTGCTTCTATTTTAAATTTCTTAGTCTCATTCCATTAAATGAGATCGTAAGTTTACTTTTATTCCCATCCTCTAATTTTTTTTCTTTGGGTTATCTTAAATTAGTCCTATTAATAGAAAGAAGTTGTGAACTTTCAAAGTGTAGTCCTAGATACTTAAGTGTAATTTGTTGCGGAGGGTGTAATTTGTTAGAGGGTTCCAGAGAAGGAGGCCTCAGAAGAAGATTTATGGTGTGCTTTGTTCGAGTAGAGGATTGTTGAGGATCGTTGAGAGTCCAATATTGGCTAATTAACAGGAAGGAAGATCATTGGTATAAGTGAGGGTGGTACGAGGCCTTTTGAAAAAACTAAGAGCAACATAATTAGAATTTATTTGCTCAAAGTGAATAATATCGAACCAATGTGAAGTTTTGATGTTCCTAACAACTTAGACAATCAATTTGCATACTTAGACATTACCGCAAAATTTAAAAAGAAAATAAGAAAAACTTGGACTACTAGATAGCTACAAAAAGACGGAGAATCTCTCTAGAGCTCTCCCTTTCTAATTTATTTGAAATTTTCTTTTGACAAAAAAAAAAAAATTAGATACATAAAAATTATTAAAGACAAGAGGGAGGTAATTGAGGGCCAGAAGCAGAACCCTTGATGTTTTGACAAATGGAAGTTGAAGAGCCAGTGCCATTGAAGGCTAGGTTGATGTTGTTTAGCACTATACCTTGGCATGGAACAACTTGGCTGCAATTCAAAGTTACTGCCAATTGTTTTGCTGATGTTCCCCTTATGTTTTCATACTTGACGTCTTTGATTTGTATTCTTGACACGCTCTGCAATCATTCACATTTCGATTTAGAATCATTCGTTATAATGTAATATCAACTTTGATCGAAGCCAAACAAATTTCAAGATTCGTACCACTTTATTGTTATTGCAAGCATTGTGCGGGCAGTAGTTTTGATTGATTATGATAGGGCTTTCAACATTATACATTTTGAGATTTACAAATGTAAGGTTGCTAACCACACTTGAATATGATTTTGACCATGTTTTGATCTGAATACCATTTTTCGTGCCAACGAATTTGGAGTCTCGTACTGTGATTCCATCGATATTTGGTTCATTTTGGTACTTTCCAAGACTGCCGATACTAATTCCATGGCCAGGACCACAATGAACATTAGTTATGTTAACGTCCTTACTTCCAGGGCCAAATGAGATGCAATCGTCTCCGGTGGCGATGATTGAGTTCATGATGGTGACACCCGTCGACTTGGAAATGTGGATGCCATCCGTGTTAGGACTATCTTCTGGTGCTATCACTGTAACGTTATCAAACACTACATCATTGCATCCATGCACTTTGAAATGGCCGAGCTTGCTATTTAACGATGTTATGTTCGTAATCCTCACAATATCGATTGATTGGAGACTTATAGTCTACAAGAAATCAAACGTTATATTACAACAAATATATCGAAAACAAATGATAGCTTATAGACTCACAATAGGAAGGCGAGTGCATGGCCCATGTTTGCAGGTATTGTAAGGCCAAGCGGTTTCACCTTGGCCAAGGAAGCGGCCTAGACCCTGGATGACCAAGTTGGTGACTCGATAGAATTTGAACCAAGAGTAACCTGTGGCGAAAGCCTTGTCCGAAGAAGCCAAGAGATCACCATTAATTTGCAGTTGAATGAGGCCATTGCAAGGACCTTGAAGCAACACGGGCAAAACCAAGAACCTCCCTATTGATGGTACTAAAACCACACCACCTCCCTTATTTGCACACGCATCCCTCCATGCCATACTCAAACCCTACATATTTAATACTCTCATTGAAGATGGAATGATTTGTGTAACGTTAGAATGTTTCACCAAAATAGCTCAAAATTAAAATTTTGAAGGTACCTTAGTGCTATCTGTTCTTTCATCCGGTGTTGCACCGTATTGCGTAATATCGAACACTTTACTTTGAGCATAAGATTGGAAAAGGCAAAGTAGTATAGTAATGAACACTACGCATCCAATTTCTGATGATATCAAACCCATTTTTTTTATAGGTATGTGACTTTGATTACCAGATTTAAACTCATCTATCCTCTTCAAAAGCATTTTTAGAGATGATTCAAGATAAAAATGGAATGTTGCAAGGAATCAAGTAAAAACAAATTGAAAGTATGGACAGCTCATGAATTCAAAGACCTCACTCTTTGCTGTCTACTTTTCATCATTTTATTGTTGTTCGAATCACTATACTGATTTCATTGCTAAATTAAGAAATTAAGATTAATGACAATGAACTTCTTAAAGAAAAAATCAGTTTTTATCTTCCTAAGATTCTCCTATTTCTATGATCTCTTGTTACAAACAGAATTTAGAATAAATCAAACTTTTGTAATTATAAATTTAGTTTTTGTTGGATATGTTAGATAAAATATTTATGGAAATGTATGTTTGTATCTAATAGAATAATAATATACTTGAGCTTCCCATCACTTACTTCCAAAATTTGTGAGGAAGGATCAACCTCTGCATTGGTATGATATTTATTCGTCAATTTTGAGTATAAGTTTGCATGACTTTGCCTTTTGTTTTCTTAACACGGCCCGTATCAATGAAGATAGTGTTTCCAAGTTATATACCTGTGATCATCTCCTTAGTTAACCAATGTAAGACTCCAACAATCCACAACAATTCTCCTCTGAAAAAACTATACCATAGTGCTTCCCGAGAGAAATTTTTTTTTTTAGAGCCCTCGAACAACCTCTACTTATTTGAGTCTTGACTCCTTCTCATGAGCCCTCGAACAAAGTACACCCTAATTGAGGTTGGTTTTGACCCTTGATCGAACAACCTCCACTAATTTGAGGCTTGACTCCTTTTCAAGAGCCCTCGAACAAAGTAAGTACACCCTAACTCCACTTATTTGAGGCTTGACTCCTTCTCGAGAGTCTTCAAACAAAGTACACCCTAACTAAGGTTGGTTTTGACCCTCGATCGAAGAACACCAAAATGAATAACATAACTACTTCAGGGGAGGGGAGCGTTTATCTTTAACAAAGAACTTTAAACACTAAGCTTGTCAATTTTCGTAATTGTGTAACTAAGTTTCCTAAATTTTACACATGTTAATAAATACTAACAATTCTCCCAAGCAAAACACTGATTATTCTTTTCAAATAAAATCAGTAATTTTATCAGGCTTCATTCAAGAAGGAAAAAAAAAAAAAAAAAAAAAAAAAAAAAATCCGTTTAGGTACTTACCAAGTGGAGACTTTTCACTCCGAATCACTCCAGAATGTCTACAAATTTGACCATTTCTAGTGATTTGATGAGAATATCCGCACATTCCTTATTTTTCTACTTCACCGTTGTTCTTGGTGTTGTTTTTAAGCACTACAATAAATAATTGATACATTGCTTAAGAAACTCTATGGTAGACTTTTTATAACGTTTTTCCTATGTCGCGACAATCTATATTATTAAAAGTATGAGACTTTTTTAAGCGTACTTATAGTTATAATGGATTCTATAATAGATTAGGAAGCTATAACTCATATAAGTTCTATAATAGATGGAGAACTAAGAGGGTTTTCAATGGCCATTAAAGAATTCAATAAAATATTAATATATATATATATATATATATTTTTTTTTTACCAAAGTTAATAGTTTGAAATTATTTTAAATGATTGTTTCTGTAATTAACCGTCATGTCATGCATATGGTAGTGCATTTTTGTAGTAGAAAAATTGGGTCGTTATAGTTGGCATTAAATCCCTTGACTTATAGATGTTGTAGACTACCCTACGAAATGGGCTCAGCATGTCTCATGATCTTATCGCTAATGAACACCATCACCGTCACGTATGTCATACAAAATATAATAAATGGTTATGTCCAATGCTATAGATGATTGAGCTTTATGTATAATATAATGATATGTATGTTATGTTTATGGGTTGTAGATCATGAAATTTAGAGGACTTAGAGCATGCTTCTAAGTGTGACTAAGAGGGCCACATGGCTGTCCAAGAAAGAGAACTGAGAATCGCTAGGATAAAGAGCATAAAGAGTATATGATTCCGACAGTAGAGATAGTCATAACCTCCTAAATAGTGTTGACAGGTACTTCTTCTGTTCTAGGGCATCTTGCGGAAGGATAGGATAGCTCTTACTGTCATCTACTAAGCAGTCCATGAGAACGTTCTTCACATGTTGGTAGAGAAGGATTCAACAAAGAACGCATATGGGTATGGAACAGGTCAAAGAAGCAAAGTTGCAAACCCTAAAGAGTAAGTTAAAGACTATCTACATGAAGGACGGTGAGTTGGTAGAATACTTTGCCATGAACTAGACAACAATCGTCATCAACATCCATTCACTAGGAAACAAGGTTGAGGAAATCTCCATCATCAAGAGGTTTTAAGTTGTCCCCATCCCCCGCCACCGCCCCCGAGCAGTTTGGTGACCACAAGAACATGTCAATTGAGGAGGTCATTGGTTATTTTAAGGTTCATAAGGAGAAACTTCATGGCTATAGCAATAGAGATTAGGAGAAACACCTCTTACTCACACATATAAAAAAAAATTTTTTAAAAAAAATTTGGTTGATTCTTCCTTTTCAGCCACAACGAGGAAAATATAGGTTGTGGATGTGGTTACATTCGTGGCAACGAACATGATGGCACAAGAGGCTGTGATAATATCTCCCAGATTCATGACAATATCAACTCCTTGATGGACAAGACATGATCTTTGTTGGGTTTTTTTGTCCTAAAACTCATAGTTTGTAAACAAAAACATATTCTATTTTCAATAAAGTTATTATTGTTTATTCAGTAAAAATTGTTATTGAATAAAGTGAACTTTACGATCATTAATCTAAATTCAATAAACTAAGAACACTCTGGCTATAGTATGATTACTTGAACTATATGTAGAGACATAAGAGTTGATCAAGTTCAAGTATATAGTCAAAATGATCTATAGTATGAGGATAAGGCTGAGTACCTTATTCTGGGGACACTATAGATGCGACCCACTTTTGTATATGACATAAACAATGTGATCACTAAAATTGTACATGTTGAGACATGTGAGTGGGGGCATCCTATGCAATGAGTATTGACTAAGATCGGACTATGAAGAAAATCACTCTCACTTTATAATGTCGTTTACTGTTGAGACTGATTTTCTTTTCATTTGATGACCTAGGTAACTTGATCTTAATCTCGAGCTAACCATGAACTCCTGTTTATTCGAAATTATCCTTAGATTTGCATGGGTGAGAGTGGCAAGTTCGCAGACTCAATAGGCCTCCCATTTTAGGGGTAAGACTAGGTAAATGGCTGGGGACGTGAGGTGCAAGATGGAATTCACTCCTATCCACTTTTAGGGATAGAAGAGAGGTAGTTCCCTTAAGTACTCCAGGTCTTGAACAAGGGGCCCCACCCTCTCATTGGCCTGAGAGGGATTCGGTTTACTGGTTGGACCACAAACCAATTGTACATTTAAGGATCAGTGAGACATAAGAAACAAGAAGTAACTTCAGGGGTAAAACGGTAAATTGACCCAGCTCTAGTTACGAACAACCTGTGAAGGATCGACTTACTAATCATGGTTATATCAAATGGACAGAAATATATCTATAGTGAGGGGAGTGCAACTACTAGGCTATAGTGGAATGTCCTAGTAGTTAACGAATGTTGGTTAACAAAGTTAATGAGTTTAATCGGTTAATCTTGGATCGTTGAAGCCCATGATCCATAAGTCCATTAGGTTCCTCTGCTAGCTCATATCGGACTAAACCATATAACAGTGTGACGAGTGAGTTCGAACTCAAATATGGGAGAATGCGCTACATATATATGATATATTTAACCGCATTTTTGTTTTATTTACGAATTAAACAAAAAGAGAGAATCTGAGATATTTAAATAAGATTTAAATATCTTAATCAAATATGGGTCGGAATTAATTGAGATTGATATTTGAATTAATATTAAATATTAATTAAATAGTTTAATTAATCATTTAATATTACTTTAATTTGAAATTAATAATTCAAATTGATTGTTGAATCAAAATGAAGAAAGTTAAAATGTTGACTTCATTTAATGGAAAAATACATGTCAGTGAAATTTTGAGGTGTCAAAATTTGGTTTAACCAAACTTGCTTGTCAAATAAACCTCACAAATTTGAGTGGAATTTTTTAGTGTCAAAATTTGGTTAACTCAAGCATGCATGCTAGCCACATAATCCCAAACATTTGAGTGAAATTTTGAGTGTCAAAATTTGGTGATCTCAAATTTGCATGAACATGCAAACATGACTCTATAAATAGAGTGATCATAAAACATGAAAGGTCTTCTTTTTGGTGAAAAACCTTGAGAAAAACCTCTTACAAACACTCTCTTCATATATACAAAATCCCTCCCAAGTTTAGTCACTCACCGGATTCCACAATCACGTTCTAAGGCCGGAGGATAATGGAGAAGACACTAGTGGTGGTTCGAAACCGATTCGTGAGGAAAAATGAATTTGAACTACAAAAGGTTAGTATTCAAACTCATTAAATTTTAATACTTATGAACATGCTAGTTATTTACTATAATTGATGTTCTAAAAGTGCCTAAGATCCAAATTGCTTCCACATGTGTTATATTAACACCATCAATTGGTATGAGAGCAAGTTTTAGGCACTTTATTTACATTAATTTGATCATGGTGGGTACCATTTCATGAATAAAATTTTGTGGTTGCTAAAGTGGATGGTTTTGGTTTTGGCATTTTTTTATGCTTC